TTTAACCTTGCGTTAAAATGCATTTACTGTGGAGTCAAAGACTTTTTTTTTTGACCATTTCTTCTACATTTCCATGACAGCAGTTTAAGTGAAAGTTTTTTTGTTTTTTTTTCTTTTCTGAAAAACCAACCAGCACTGATTTTATTAGATTTATTAAACGAGTCGTGGGGTCAATGACCCAAAACAAGTACAGGTTTGTTTTTCCAAAGTGAGGCTAATTTGCAGCTTAAAGGCTAATGAGCAGTTAACTAACCCGACGCTACTGTAATTAGAGACGGGGAGCAGAGTCTGGAGGATGACCTTCAGGTGTTTCATCCTCAATCAGCAGCCTTCCATTTATCTTCAGCCGCTGCTCCTTTGTTCCATATGTATCTTTAATTTCCAGTCACTAAAATAGAGGAGCTATCTTTAGCTGCTCACACTTCATCTTAGCTGACAGTGACTGCTCCTAAAATAAAAACTCTGCCGTCTTCTCAGATTCCCGCATGATGGAAGTGTTGATGAAGCTGCTTTTAGCAAGTTTCTTATATGTATGTACACACACACACATATATATATATATATATATATATATCAATGTGCCCTTTTTTAATTCCCGTCTTATCTCACCTAAATATTGGGGGGGTGGCAGGAATCTAACGATAAGATGCGTATCACAATACGAGGGCAACTATATTTTGTTTGTAATTCAATAATTTAATTGACAGCTTCACTATGGAAACATACTATTTCTATGAGGACAAAGCACGATTTCTGGTGCCTTTTTTTTGCTCCATGAATCTCTTTTTTTTTCTTTACCTCTGTCTCCCTTACTCCAACTTAGGAGAACAACGAGAAGGAAAAGTAGAATATAAATCCGGCTGATTATACCGGGACACGGTGCTGTTCCTTTTTTTTTTCCTTCTCTGTATCATTAGAGAGACAAGAGTCAAAGATTAGTCCACTTTTTCTCTTCAATACGTCTTTGATTTTCTGCCTTTTTTCAACGAGAAAACCGGCTCATTGTCGGCTCTTCTCTAACTCGGCTTCGCACAAATATATGACATCATTAGACGGGTTGAAGTAGAACAACAGGACGTAAGGAAGGACAGGAAGTGTATGGGATGACACCCTGGGGTGTTGCCCCCTCCACATTAGGAAAAAGGCTTTGGTGAGTGATTTGGACTTGTCAGCAGATACGCTGCGCTCCATCTTCTGTTAATAAGCTCTGAGCTTAACAATATGACTCGTCGTTAGACAGTAATGATGCTGATTCTGACATAAAAGCCTTGTTTGCTGCTCGGCTGTGAGTTTTTGGCTGCGGGCGAGGGACAAGTAAACGATAGAGTCATGCATTTTTCAAGAGCTGCGAAAAGCTCAGGAGAAAGTGTGGGTTTTCATAAAAGGCACGCAACTTTTGTTTCAACATCTTTCACGTACTAACATGCTGGGCTGATGTGGGTTTGGTTTGTTTTTTTACTTGTGGCCACCATCGATTTATCATAAAAATTTAACAGGAGGTGAAAAGTTCCCACAGCTCATGTTAACTTTTGGAATTAATCCAGTGGAATTCTCTGATAACAGCATGTTTAGTAGGAATGTGAATATTTTTATTTCGATTCGATTATGATTCTGTGTTGTTATTTTACAGTGCTGTAATGATTTTTTTTTTTGTTTTGTTAACAGTCCAATATTCCTGGTGTTGGTTCATGTTCTTTTTCTTTTCTTTCTTCTCTAGTGATTCCAAATGTAGATCCCTCTGTTCCAGAGTTAGGAACTGATGTTCAGATGGAACAGAGTCTCAGACTAGGATGACACTGGGACTACAGAAAAAACCTCAATATATCATTGTGCTTTTAGTATCCCAACATACTGCAATATATCGTCTCATTGCCCCAGTATCATCATACGTATCGTATCTCCAGGTTCTTGCCGACACACACCCCTAATTTGTGGGGTCTTTCTAAAAGTTTGTCGTGTTTAAATGTTGTTTTCTGGTGTTTTAATATGCTGGTAATTTGAAATCTTTGAAAACGGCCAAACACAAACACAGTTCTACAGGCTGCTGGAATCAGTCAGTCAGTCAGTCAGTCAGTCAGTCAGTCAGTGTGTGACTGTGAATGTGTGCTACTTTATTAAAGACCGGTTCATGAGTCCAGGCTGGCTGAAAAGTGGAATAGTGCAGAAAAAAAACGTGCTTCTGGTTATAACATACTTTCATCTCCACCTGCTCCCTGAAACTCATCCACACTTTTAACTCAGGGTTATCTGATGAAACAGAACTACAAGAGCCCCCCCTCTACCCCATGCAGGTTAGGAGGTCGTCTTTATCTGTGGTATAAACGACTGCTTGACAAAAGGAATAATGGAGAAACGCCGTTAAGAGCCTGTCACAAAAGTCTTGGCGAGCTCGGTGTAATTATGTCAGAAACCTTTCTTGGTTGGGTTTTCTTAATTGAGAGGATGCATCAGCGGGATGAGTGTCTTCCTCTGAGTTCCCGGCTCTGTTTTGTACCACGGAGGACCTGCTCATTATTGCTCGATTCAATGCAAGGCTGTTGTGGTGTCAAATGAGATTTGTCTCACCATTACAAGAAGTAATTGGTGGAGGCTCTCTCAGTAATTTACTCCCAGCCGCCGCTACAATAGCTTTATGGTGAATAATTGCCCCTGTCTGGTTCCACCACTGTTATGGGCAACCTGAGTGTTGAGTCGCTGCAGCAGAGGAGCCACGGATCCACAGTTTTTCAGGGCTGGGAAAAATCTAGTGTTAATTCGCAGTGATGTCTTTTTGTGTTTTTGGATAAGATGTCATTTCTGCAGGACGATCGTAAATGAGGTCATTTTTTTAGTTCTGTACGTCGGTGCTTTGACCAAGCTCGTCCTTTTCTCTTTTTAACATAAAATTTGCAGATGATTAGATGGACAATAGCATTGTTTTTGTGTGAGGAACATGTTTGATAAAGACAGCAGCGATTCCTTGCATCTTACTGACACAAAGTCAGAGTTATTCCCTGAAATGATTTCAAAGTTGCTGTAAACACTCTGAAACCACAGCAGAGCCTC